TTGGCCTTGTTGGAGGGGTTGGCTTTGTTGGAGGGGTTGGCCTTGTTGGAGGGGTTGGCCTTGTTGGAGGGGTTGGCTTTGTTGGAGGGGTTGGCTTTGTTGGAGGGGTTGGCTTTGTTGGAGGGGGTTGGCTTTGAGGTCAGAGAAGCTCAAGCCAGGCCCAGTGGCTCACACTCCCTGCTCATCCCCATGTAGAACTCTCAACTCCTCCAGCACATCTGCCTGCATGCCACCATGCTTCCTGCCATGATAATCATGGACTGAACCTCTGCACTGTAAGCCAGCAGCCCCAGTTAAAGGTTTTCCTTTATGAAAAGCTGTGGTAGTCATGGTGTCTCTTCACATCAATAAAGCCCTAACTAAGACAGCATCTGCAATACAACATTGCTTCTGTAAGTGCTACCTGAAGAACAACTGCACAACAGTGACCGTCGTTCCTAAGATGAAGCCGCCGTATTCTTTCTGAAGCCCACGAAGCCACCGCCCAGGGGAACTTACCCGCCTCTGCTGTGCTGCTGGCCGTGGCTGGAGATCTTGTACGGAAGAACGCGCTCACCAAGGTTTTCCAGGTTCCTCACTATGGCCCCGCGGTCCATCAGGGATTCTAGTGTACGTTTCAAAGCAGCAGCCGTCTCTGGCTAGGTTTGTTTGTTTTGTTTTGTTTTGTTTTTCAAAGAGAAGAAAGAAAAAAATCACAATCAATATGAAAATTAGAATAATCAATTAAGGCCATGCTGCTAGAGATCTCTGGGTAAAAGCAACTGAAATTGGTTTTGGCTAAATAAATAAATAAAATGAAGCAAAGGGCTCTGAAGATACAGGACAGCTCACAGGTACAGAGGAGAGAGCTCGGGGCCAGCACAGCTCCGTGGATCTGGAGGTGGGAAATAACGAGCGGCTTCTCTCAAGGGCCTCAGCCAGGATCCGCAGGGCCAATCACTGTCCAGTCTTCTATATTATGAGTCAAAATAGAAATCCCAGGAGATCGGCCTGTTGTCAGGGCACCTGAGTCATGACCCACCACAGCCAAGTGGGAAAGGCCTGGATCCCACAGGAAAATTAGGGGATCATAACCAAAAGGGCAAAGGGTAAGATTCAACCTGTATCCCATGGCAGCACACACAGTCTAATGAAGAGTTGAACACAGAACATGGAAGGGGAGCAGACAACAGAAAAGGACGATGCCATAGAGACAGACATGTGCACATGTGTGCACACGTGTGAGTGGGGGCAGATCCCGGGGCTCACTGGCCAACGGGTCAAGTCAAACTGTGAGCACCAGTTTGGTGAGAGACCATAAAAATGAACATGGTAGATAAAACAACAAAGACACCTGAAGTAAACGCCTGGTCTCACCCCTACACACACACACAGTCACAGGTGAGGGCACACACACAGACACACATGTGTACACACTCACCAAGTGCATACCCTCTCCCCACATACACAGGGGAGTGAATCCTCCCCCCAACACACACAAGTACACATACACACACCATACAAACACAAAGAAATGTTCTTTTTAAAAGGAGATTTTATCATATCAGTTAAAAAAAATGGCTACCTACCATAAAGGCAGTTTAAGAAAACAAAACATATTCTTTCACTTTGTAGCAAAGTCAAGGCATGAACTGTGTAAATGGACACACTCATTTGGCTGTGATTTCAAACTAGTCAGTAGTTTAGAGACTGAGGGCTGGTGAGATGGCTCAGTGGCTAAAGGCACTCACTCCCCAACCCGAGGTCAACCCCTGGGACCCATGTGCTGGATGGAAAAGACTGACTCACACAAGTTATCCTCTGACCTCTAAATGCACACGGGGAAAAGTGAGCCCACATTCACACACACACACACACACACACACACACACACACACACACACGATGTAATTTCTTTGAAAAGAGATATTGAAAGAGAAATAAAAGGTTTTTGGTTACTAAAGTTGCTCAACATTTTTCATATACCTTATCTCAAATAAAGTAGACTCCCAAAGACATTAAGTTTTATGGAAACACAGCCAACTCATGCATTTGAAGTGTTTGTGGCTGTTTTTCCTTAAAGCAGATTTGTAGTTACAACAGATACCAGATGGCCACCAAACCTGATCATCACTACGTGGCCAACCCGTTTTCCACTGTGCATGGTTGAGGAAGCCAGCAGGGCCTCAGGCCTCTCATCCTGAAATACACCACACATCACAGCCTAGGTGTGATGATACAGAAGTGGATTCCCACTGGACAGGTCAGCAGGCCAATGACCACCATCAGCCTCAACACCAATTCCATGACCTCACCATTCCATCTATCTACGCCCACCCTAATTCACATCGTGCAACACATGTGTGGTGCTGAAGAATCCATGAGGAGTGAAAGTTTGTGCCTACCTGGATTTATGTTAATTTATGTTAATTTATGAGACATTACACCCTACAGTAGACCCTCCAACAACAGCAAGGTTCGCCTGTGCCAACCCTCCACCCCTGAAGCCAAAACTCCAACAGTCAACTTGACTATCCAAACATCTACCTACTGGCCTCTTAATGAGAAGTCTCACTGGTTAGCATTAAACAGTCAACTAGCATATATCAGATGTTCTGTAAATTACAAGCAGTGAAAAACCCAAGAACAACCAAAATCCACTTTGCTATGGCAGAGTGTACCAGACAGGAACTGCCCACACAGTGATCAGCTCACTGTGGGCATTACGGAGACTCCTGGCAACACCTGAGCTCACTGGAGGAGCAGCAGGATGCAGCTGGGAATGAGTGTGGTCATACAGTTATGACATCGCTCGCTCACTCACTCACTCACTCACATAGAATGTAGCATTTTGCTTTCTGGACTGGGAAAAGTGAGTGTTGTGTATGATTTTTAGCTTCTTTTTGTTTTATAAGCATGCAAGCTTGCTAAATTTAGTATTTTATAGTTAATTTCCGTATACTTTAACAAACTACTATCTACTTTATGTATCATGACATTTTTTCTTATTTCTCTTCTACAGTCCTAAGCTTTTCCTAGGACTATGACTTGGAAATGTATGTCACAACAGCAACTAGCTGGAGCAAACTCCCAAGCAGTCAGGCCCGAGAAGGTAGAGCAGGACAGAAATAATCAATTGTATAATGTAAAGCCTTTCCCACTCTTTGCTGGATCTGAACTTGAAGACTCCATATCCTTCAAAATAACACTGTTTGAAAAGTCAACACATTAGGTTCCTAGAAACTTTGCATTGAGAAAAATTCTTCCAGAACTGCGGGGGGGGGGGGGGGGGAGGAAGTGTAGTGAACACTAACTTCCAAGAGATTAGAGTTAAGGTCTACAATAGAAGACCTTGGGGAAGAAATGGCTGTGTATCTACCACAAATGTGCGACAAGCCATCTTGCCTACACACGCAAGGCTCAACTGTGAAGCTGGGTCTAGCCTAGCTGTGTGACTTCCCAGAACCTTGTTTGTGCTACAGTTTGGTGACTCAGGAGTGGCAGACCTTGGGCGGCAGCAGAGACTCACCTAGTGGGAGAGAGAACTCATCCCCACAAGTTGTCCTCTGACTTCCACACGTATGTGCCACCCCCCACACATGAATTAATTAAGAGCTGCCCAGGCGTGGTGGTGCATGCCTTTAACCACAGCACTTGGGAGGCAGACTTAGCCTGCTCTACATAGTGAGTTCTAGGACAGTCGGGACTATGTAGAGACCTTGTTTCAAATAAAACAAAAATTAAAGAGTTGCAGCCCAGAGCTATTTTAAGATCCCAGTAAAACAGTAAGGACAAGGCCGGGATACTAAGAAACACAGTCACGTGTATAATCTCGGCGGGCTTTTGCAGACAACACAGTGTGGACAGACAAGGGAAGTAACAGGACAGACTTCTCATGGTCGGAGAGAAAACACTTGTGAAAACAGCCGTGCGGCTGCTCTCTGAAAACGAGGCCACGAGGTCTGTGACCAGCAGGCCCGGCCGAGCCGGGAGTGACCGACCAGCCGCAGCACAGACAACCGCACTGGACAGGAACCAACACGTTCAGTGCACCAGAAATCCCATCTGCTTTTAAAGCTACTGTTGTGTAAAAACACAAAAAACACAAGTTTACAGTTTCACAGGTGAATTTATGATTGTTCGGCTTTTTAATGAGCTTTCAAAGCGCTGGGGGCACACTCCACTGTGCTCACCTCTTGACCACTTCTCCCCTCCCCTCCTCCGGCCCCTCCCCTGCTCCGGCCCTTCCTCTCCTCCGGCCCCACCCCTCCTCCAGCTCCTCCCCTCTTCCAGCCCCTCCCCTGCTCCAGCCCCTCCCCTGCTCCAGCCCCTCCCCTCCTCGGCCCCTCCCCTGCCCACCCCCTTCCTGCTTCAGTTCAGGTGTATTTTATCACCCTCGCTTTTGTTTCTCCCCCTGACACTCTCTCATGGTCCCCATTCCAGTTTCACAATCTTTATCCCCGCATACATATGCATCCATATACAAAATCTAGGTTCTGGGGCGACAGAAAACATGTGGCACTTCATGTAATTTTCAGCTCCTTAATTTTTCTGACAACACAGTCCTTACCCACTCATCTGCTGATGGGCACAGCAGCTCTGGTGAACAGTGTGGCCAGCCGACATGGACGTACAAGTGCCCATGTGGTACAAACTGAGAGCTTTTGGGTGTTTGCCTAGCACTGGTATCATTGGGTCATATAGTACTATACTTTTGGTTTTCTGAGAAACTTCTAGACGGGTTTCCATAGCGGGTCCAGCACTTCACATTCCCAAGAGCAGTGACTCTGGTCTCCTCTCTCCCATCTCCTCACCAGAGGTCACTGCTCTTGGTTTCCTAATGAGAGCAGTTCTGACTGGGGTAGGAGGTTTTTGTGTGCATTACCTGATGGCCACTGATGCGGAACACTTTTAAAATGTTTACTGGCCATTTGCGTTTGTACCTTTGAAAACTGTCCAGTTTATTGGCCCATTCACGGATTACAAAATTTGGTGGTTTTTGACATCTCTCTTCCAACTAGTTCTGATCTCAGATGAGCTATAGCGGCTTCTTTCCAACCTCCATTTTCCAGGTAAGTTGACCTTCACCCTTTGACTAGGTTTTCCAATATCTTTGCCAGGCAACAAACGGTTGGATCTTGTTTTCCAACCCAGTTAATCTGCATCATTTAACTGGTGAGTTAAGGCTATTTCCACTGAAAGTTATTATTGAGGGAGCTGCTATTTCCTATGGTCCTGTGGGCTGTGTTCTGACTGGATTAGCCACGGTCGTTTTCTTCCTCCCCTGTTAATATTAGAGTTTGCTGGTTCACTGTGTTGGGTGTGAGGGGTTCCTTCCATCCTGTTCATGAACTGGCCTCTCTACGGCTATTTAGCAAGACTCTGACTGCGGCAGCAAACACAATGCTCTGACAGTACTCCAGTAAATGCAAGACTGTAAAGATGATGTCTGACTAAATTCTGCAAGATTCACAGTTCAGACGTAACAAGTGGTCACCCTGCAAAACTTATTTCCCGTGTGTAGTAACAGTTCCGGGGTAATAAAACACCCACCGAGTCTCACCGTGCCACCTGACAGTAA